AGTAGTCAGTAGTCAGTAGTCAGTAGTCAGTAGTCAGTAGTCAGTAGTCAGTAGTCAGTAGTCAGTAGTCAGTAGTCAGTAGTCAGTAGTAGTAGTAGCAGTAGTAGTAGTAGTAGTCAGTAGTAGTCAGTAGTAGTAGTAGTCGTAGTAGTAGTCGTAGTAGTAGTAGTAGTAGTCGTAGTAGTAGTAGTAGTCGTCGTGGTAGTAGTAGTCGTCGTGGTAGTAGTAGTAGTAGTAGTACTAGATAGTACTAGATAGTACTAGTACTAGTACTAGTTTTAGTCTAAAACTGGCGCACTGAAACCCTAAGGTCTAAAGCCAGAGCGCATTCTTCGCAACCACGCGGGGTGCCCCAGCATCGCCGCAACAGCGGCCGAACAGCAGCCTGAAGTCCCCCGAAACGGAGCAGGCTGCTTCGCTTCACTGGTCCTTGCACGCCTGCATGGCTGTATCCAGCTCCAGAACCCTGGCGTTCTGCGGTCGCTCGTAGAGGATGCCGCCTGCGAGCCGACAAGAGGTCTGGATGAAAGAAAGTGCAGAGTTGCTGCACTGGATGGAGTAAAGTGGCTTTTGAGAGAGAGAGAGAGAAATAAAAAATAAAGAACAATAAAAAACAAGAGTGAGAGAGAGAGAGAGCGAGTGCAAGTTTGAGTGCGTGTGCGGGTGCGGGTGGGTGTGGTGTGGGTGTGAGTTATGTGGTATGTGTTTGACAAGAAGAATTGACAAGAATTTCAACGTTCAAGGGGCAAGTTGGTAGCGTTTGTAGTGAGGCCAGGAGTAGCGTTGAAGGGCACTTGAACTTGGTCAGGCCTGGAATTGGTAACAGCTCTGGATGTCCCTCGCAAGTCTGAAGTTCTCAGGAACTTCCTCATCTTGACCTTAAAAACAGGGCTACCATTTGAGGGAGGTGGATACTATGCGCTTCTTCAAACCAAAAGCAAGTTGAGCAACCAACAACCTACGGTGCCAGTCATGGAACAGGCTGCTTAGTAACCAATATTTAAAATCTATATTGTGCTTCAAGAGGTCTTAAAATCTGAACTCCACATGCCACAAGCGATCTTTTCACACCAAAAGATGCGATATCTACCTACTCTATGTAGATGGCAGATGATGGCAGTCCTTGAACCATGTTAAAACACATCAAAACCCATATCGCAGGGGTCCCAGGTCGTTTACCAGCACAGAGAAGACATCGAATCGATGTGCAAAGCTTCAAAGCTCCACTTTGCGGCGCCTTTGGCATAGGGATAGCTCCCTTCAATGTCCCAATACCACCTCGAGCGAACTGAGCTGAGCGCATGAAAAGGGCCGAAGTAGGTGGGGACGTTGACCTTGGGGGCACCCAGGCTGGAAGCGGCTGGAACTTCGGCCATCGGATCGTTGGGGAGGGCCTGCGCACCAAAGAGTCTTTAGTATTTCGCCTCCCAAAACCGCAGCTCCACCTTGAGGATGCAGCTCCGTCTGTGTTCAGCTTCCCTTCCCTTACCCTTCCAACACCTGGAGGAAACCCACCTTGGCTTCGGTTCCCTGGGCACCGAGGCACCGAGGCACTAGACCCGCGTCGGAGGCGCGCTTGGCGGGTCGGTCCGGTGAGTCGCGAGTCGGTCCGTGTGCAAGGCGCTTGGAGGTGACACCCGCGGCAATCCAGTAGTTGAATGGGCCAAGGACCTGCAGCAGGTCATGGGCCATTCGGAACGGCGGAAGAAGACAGTGATATGTTGGACTAGTATTTGAAAGGGGGGACGACCTCCCTGGTCCAATGAATTTCGTCTTGATTGGGATACTTCCATGATGTCTCCCATTCTAATTACACACCCATATGGCAACTCTTTATCCAGCTCCTTACTGCTCAGCATGCCCTGTGGACAGATCTGCTATCTCTTGGAGATTCTGAACATGAAAAGTTGCTTAGGCTTGGTTGGAGGTCTGTTTTTTCGCAGGGATCGGCACTTTCGTTTGGACAAACAGGATGCGCTTGTCCAGCAGGTGGAGCGGCAGCAGACTGCGCAAGTGTCCACATCCCCTTTGGGCCCATCTCTCCAAACAATAAACAACAGATCTTGGAGGACCATACAAACCTCTCCATCCTCTAGCTCTGGGAACATCGCCACATCCGCATCCAACAAAGAAAACGAGAAACCAGCAGTTTCACCCTACACAACCAGCGACTCCGCCGGAGTGACCCCAAAACGCCGGACCACCACCTGCCGGCGACTCCGCTGCGACGACGTGGTCCGACGCGTCGGTCGCGCCATGCCAGCAAAGGGATCGTTGCGCTTGGAACTCGCCGGCAGCTCCGACCAGGAGCGGTCATCCTCGGTGCGGGCGATGGGCGTCACGGACCACGGAGGTCGACAGGGTCGGGCGTCATTCGATGTCCCTGTCGATGTCCGAAACGCCTGGTAGTGAAAGGATCCAGCTTCTTCAACATGAATGGCCCACAAAAAGGAAGAAGCATGAAACCAACTCTGTCTGCCGAAGGAGCAACTTAACTACACGCTCACTGACCTTTTTCCAGGGAAGATTCATCAGTGATGAAAGTTAAACACTATCTAAAGAATTCTAAAGGCACCCCGTCACCACAGTAAAAGGGCATTTTGCGAACTCCCTCAAGACCTTGGCAAAGTGGCAATTGTCCCATCCCATTGGGAGGGCAAGCACGAGACAACAGTAGAACCGGAAGGGAAACAGCTGGAGTTTGGCAATCCTTCATGATCTTTTTTGTCGCCACGATATAGCTAATATACGTAATATATACGTATACAGTATTGATGTCCATGCGCACAAAGTGGCATTGTGCGTCACCATCTAGGGCCTCCGTCAGAATTTGCAGGAGATTGCACGCAGGGACTTGCAGGTACTTGGAGGGGTATGGCATTCTAAGTCCAACCTCAGAGCCGCTATAGTCTGTAGACTTCATGTGGAATGAATGAGTTACCCCATGTCCATCCATCAACCATCACCATAAACATCTGTCCCAGGTTCAACTCCCATGGCATACCTAGCCCTAGCTGTGCCATGTCCTGGTGCCAAAGTTGTTCGCCCGGCTTGAGAGGTTCGCACCTGGATCCGGTCGTTCACCGTTGGTGTGCAACGACCGACACGTCGGTAGGCCGTCGGTCACACCCAAAACCAAACACTCCATTTACCTACATTGATGCCTTGGTCACCTTTTTGCTAGCACTCACCGGAGAATCAGCACTGGTGCTCCCCACAGCCGGGTCTTGTGCTCAGCTTCTTCAGTCGGGATCGGCAACTGGTTCTTCTCCATGAAATCGACCAAGGCATCCGCCGCGGCATTGTAGCCTGAGGAAACATCTGCCAAACACGGCGTCCGCACAAGGGCCCGGCGCGTTTGGAGACAGAAAACACCCCGGAGACCTGAAACGCTTGGCTCAGCATATAGGAAGACTTCAGAAATGAACAACAACAACAACAACAACACAATCTAGTATTCGTATATAAGCAAAGGTTGAAGTCGCCCCCTCAAAAACTCATGTTTGAGTTGCTGGACTGTCGTGGCATCATCATATGTGACTGGATCCCTCCTTCTGTTGAGACCCTTCCGACAAGAATGAGGGAACTCCTCTGAGATCTGCAGCAAAAATGAGCTGGGTTAGTTGAAGTGGAGAACTGGGTCTCAGTCACCCTCAGTTCCCATGAGTTTCTACGGACGCAGAACCAGGTCGTTAGAGATCTATCTGGAACCACGGGTACCACAGCTCCAGTAACAAGATGTCGCAAGAAGCCCTTCAGCCCAAGACGCCCTTCTGCACTTGCTTCCGCAATCGGTACTGGCTCAATGTCAGCCAACGGCGCGGCACGGCCTTGGTTTTGGCCGTTGGGTCTTCCACCACGGTGCTCGGTGGTCAAGCCAGGTGGTCGAAACCGGTCCATTCTCAGGGTCCATGTGGTTCATCTGCCGGGGAAGAGTTGAATGGGTATTTAAATTACATGTTTCAAAAAAACGGAAGCTCCATAAAGCTTCCTTGGAACTGCCTCTGGGCTTGATGCGTTTGATCCTCCTGTTGTGACGATAACCACCCAATCTGAATGGACATCTCCCTGCTCCTGCCCACTTGCAGAGCCCCGTGCCTCCCACTTTCGGAGCGCCGACCGTGTCGTATTCAAAGCTTCTTGCACCTGCCATCCACTTTCAACAAAGAACGTGAAAAAAAGAAACACGGTGGTGTGCCCTCAAAAAAAAAACAGACCTGTGCTTCTTAGCTGCACTGTTGCCATGCACTTCTCGTGTCATCTACAGTCTGACGCCCTTGCAAAAATACTATCTAAAAAAATAAAGATGGAGCCCACGAACCCGAATGCAAACCCGTTCGAAAAGAAACATATGTCCAAATGACACTCTTGTAGGACACTCTTGTGGGACACTCTTGTGGGTCACTCTTGTAGGACACTCTTGTGGGACACTCTTACGGGACACTCTTGTGGGACACTCTTGTGGGACACTCTTCTGGGACACTCTTGTGGGGCACTCATACGGGACACTCTTGTACGACACTCTTGTGGGACACTCTTGTAGGACACTTGTGGGACACTCTTACGGGACACTCTTGTCGCACACTCTTGTAGGACACTCTTGTGGTCACTCTTATGGGACACTCTTGTCGGACACTCTGTGAGACACTCTTGTGGGACACTCTTGTCACTCTTACAGGACACTCTTGTAGGACACTCTCGTAGGACACTCTTGTGGGACTCTTGTGGGACGCTCTTGTAGGACACTCTTGTGGGACACTCTTGTGGGACACTCTTGTAGGAAACTCTTGTGGGACACTCTAAAAGGACACTCTTGTGGGACACTCTTGTAGGACACTCTTGTAGGACACTTGTGGGACACTCTTGCGGGACACTCTTGTGGGACACTCTTGTGGGACACTCTTGTAGGACACTCTTGTGGGACACTCTTATAGGACACTCTTCTGGGACACTCTTAAGGGACACTCTTGTGAGACACTCTTGTGGGACACTGTTGCGGGACACTCTTGTGGGACACTCTTACGTGACATTCTTGTAGGGGACACTCTTGCGGGACACTCTTGTAGGACACTCTTGTGGGACACTCTTATAGGACACTCTTGTGGGACACTCTCAAGGGACACTCTTGTGAGACACTCTTGTAGGACACTCTTGCGGGACACTCTTATAGGACACTCTTGTGGGACACTCTTAAAGGACACTCTTGTGAGACACTCTTGTGGGGCACTCTTGTGGGACACTCTTGTAGGAAACTCTTGTAGGACACTCTCATAGGACACTCTTGTAGGACACTCTTGTGGGACACTCTTGTAGGACACTCTTGTGGGACACTCTTTCGGGACACTCTTGTAGGACACTCTTGTGGGTCACTCTTATGGGACACTCTTGTCGGACACTCTTGTGGGGCACACTTGTGAGACACTCTTGTGGGACACTCTTGTAGGACACTCTTGTGGGACACTCTTGTGGGGCACTCTTGTGGGACACTCTTGTAGGAAACTCTTGTGGGACACTCTAAAAGGAAACTCTTGTGGTCCTTAGGGATCCTTCGTACGAGACTTCCTCCAAAAGTCACGCGTCAAGTCTTCAAAACGAGACTTCCTCCAAAAGTCACCCGCTCACACGCCAATCCCAATGTGACAGCGACATTCACCTCTACCACAACTCACAACCTCACGATTCCCTGCGCCTGCCACGAATCTTTCCGCGTCCACACGTCTGACGCGCACAAAGTACTGCGTCTCCCACGAAATGTCACCTCCGTCACACCTCGCAACCTCACGATTCCCTGCGCCTGCCACGAAAATCGCACTTCCACACCTCAAAACCCGCACAGAGTACTGCGCTTGCCACGAAAAGTGACAATATCATCTCATGTGAGCTTCAACAAAATTTGCACCACACCACACGTTTGGAATGATTTCGATCCGTTCTGAGCACACTCCCATCCACCAAAATCGCCATTTCACCTGAAACTTCTCACGAAAACAGAGCTTCGATGCCACACCCTGAAACGCAAATCCCAATGGCACGGCCACATCATGCCACATCCAACACCCCAAAAACACGACTCTCCTGACGCTAATCCCAATGGAACTGCGCAGCACACTGCGGATCTCACAAACACCTGCGCCTGCGCAGCGAAATGCGTCACGTTTCTTGCGCGACATGTCATTGTCATTCGAATCACAATGGAATAGCGGCGCAAACTGACACGTGACACATCCATGAAAAGTCACTTGCAAAAGCTTCCCCCAATGGCAGCGCCTTAGCGTTCTACTGCCAACGGTTGCAAGCACTTGCGGACGGTTGCGAACGGTTGCGGACGGTTGCGAACATACAAACCACGGGTCGCGAACAAGACTCTACCCCCAGACCCCCAGAGTTAAACGAGAACCCTTCGCTACGCATTCGGGAAAAATCACATTGGAAGGTGACAGTTCTGTTTGGAAACATCGGCCCCAGGTGGATCTTGTGGCCTAACAACCGTTGGGTTACTCGGGATGTGCCGTTGAATCCATCAAAATCATCAAAACACTTCCTCTGAAAACGGCCGTCTGCCACTGCGCCGATGCGTGCACACCAGCGATCCCAGTCGCCGATGCCCACCGATCGTTCCGATCGCGTGACCGGAAACAAGACTCCGCGTGCAGGGCGACTCGCGTGATGTGTTTCTTCTTTTCCAGCGGTGCCAACGGCTCTGGAAGAAAGCCTGGAATCTAGGTTGACCCAAAGGTCAGAATCGGGTGTCAGGAAAAGCAAGGCCAAGTTTAGGCCTGCTGACACGCAGTTTGTTCTAGGTCTTCTCAGGAGCCTTATGACGGCATGTGAGGATCTATGAGGCTCTATCCCCTTCTTTTCAGAAAAGATCTATGAAGGAGAAGCGAGATTTAGCCACCTCGCTGCATCTAAGACTGAGCTACGCATCTGTGAAACTGCGCCTTTGGTGAGGCCTTGGAAGGGGAAGGAACTCTGCACAAATTCCAGAAGCTGCCAGAATCTCGAAAGTCACCAAGAAGAGCACATCAAAACAAGTCCATCATACATGATCTATTACAAGTCTTTTTCACTCTTCTCACCGAAGAAGCTGCTGATGAACACAACGAGCCATTTGGCGAGTTTCAGCAGAGTTCTCGACCCTGTTTCGCGCGACGAGCTCCGAACACATTTACGAATCCTGCGGGTCAACGAGTCTCTGCGGGTCATGTCACCGTGGGCGACACCAGAAAACAGGATAGCCCTCACGTTCCACTGGATAAAGATCGAAATCTGCTGAAATGCGGCGATTTGGGGTTTTTTTTGGTGCGTTGGATTTGACACCGAAGCTCAGAGACTTCTCCCCACTGGTCACCTCCCAAGCTCCCTTGAGCATGGGCGGAACTAGATTGGCTGGTCTTGATCCCAACTCTGGCGGGGCTGGAGTGGCTATGGCTCTAAAATAAGGCACTGTGTATACCACCAAAAGTCCCAAACAGGACTCACTTACGAACAGCACAGTTCTGTAAGCTTCAAGCGAATGAGACCCCGTCCGGCATGGGGGGGCTTCAAGACCGCTCTAGAGCAAGCCTCTAGAGTTGTACTGATTTCACCTTCTGCGTCTCAGCAAGCAGTTGAAGAATTCGGAAGTGCGAGCCATTTTGATCTGCCTGAGGCACTTTGATGACTCGGAAGTGGAGTGCTCAGTGATGAATCCCTTTCAAGCCATTCTGCGGCCGGATGAAATGACCACAGAAATCAGACAATCTTTCTGCCCATGTCACGTGTCAAAAATCTGCATCCCCGAACACCTCAGGAGTTTTACCCTTAGCCGCAGCCAAATCGTGATGCCACCTTCTAGCTTATCCAAAAGGGTCTTAGTCAGGAAAAGATTGGAAACGCCAATCAATTAGGGCCACTGCTCAGCACTGCTTGGTACCTGGCTACCCCCTACCCCCTTCATTGACCCTTTTCAACCACCAGCTACCCTTGGTTCTACGGGGCCGTCCACCGACCTGTGCCGGGTCAACGGTCACAAAAGAGGGCACTCCGGGTCAACATGCGTTGGGGGCTTCATGTGGACCCTTTTGTGGGTCAACATGTTTGTTCCATGTCCAAAACATGTGTCATTTATAGTTAATTAAATCTGGAACATTCCGTAGGGGGTGTCTTTCTTTTTTCATCTCTTTTCTGCGGACCTTCACGAAACCCCCAAGAAAAGATCCCGAATGTCCCACTCTTTTCGGGTTTTTCTGAGTCCGGAACCGAGTTCCGACCCGCCTCTTCTGCAAGCTCCATGGGTGTACGTCCCCCTTTCGCACCAGTTTGTGGATCCACACCCATCTCTAACAGCATCCGCAAGGTGTAGGTGTCCTTGAAAGCCATCGCTAGTAGGTAGGAGGCCATCGCTTCTAGGTAGGAGGCCATTGCTATTAGGTTGGAGGTCATCGCTTCTAGGTTACCAGTCACCACCGGTAGGTTGTTTCTCGTCCCTGGCTGATCAAGGCCAGTCGCACATCTTCAGCACTGTCACCATGTGAAAAAGCTGACCATTCTCTAGTTTGGGTTGGCGTTCCAGAAAGGATCCTGTATTCTCACCTTCTGTCCTCGTTAAAGGATGGACACACTCCAAGCGACCCCATCAAGAGCGCAAATTCCAAACATCTGCAAAGATATTTAATGGTGGTACACTGTACACTCCCTTTGCATCAAGTACTGTATTTATTTGGCTGTGACCATCTGACAAAGCAATTCTCTTCCCGCAATCACCATCCATATAAAAAAACAAACTCACAAAAAAACTAAAAACTGCATGGTCCAGACCAGTCTCTGCCAACTGTGCTGCGACATGAATGGGATACATACACTCCATTCCGATGATTGGGCTGCGTGATCCGGAGGCCTTCCCTCCGTTCCCCACTTCACGTGGGCGATGGGCATTGTCAAAGCCGTGCCGCTCGAGGAAGGCACGGAGGTGTCGCCGCTTCCTCAGCGGAGCCGTCCGGCGGCGTTCCGGCGGGGGCCTGCAAGCCGTTCGGCTGCTCTGCGGTGGAGTGGCAAGGTGGAATTGGACCTCTCTGTCTGCACGGATGTGAGCGTTTTCCTAGATTTCCTTATATTGAACAATCACAGGAGGAATTTTGGGCGGGTCCAAATCACCTTGGACACCTCAATACAAAGGCTACGTAGCGTCTCAGTGGACAGAGTAAAAATCAAGGTCGACTCAAAATCACTTTAGGAAAGAGAAACGAAGATAGACTTTCCCATGTCCCTCCATCGCAACCCAAAACTGCAAAAATGGACTGATCTAAAACGCAAGCAAAGTGTCACCTGCACTTCCCATTTGTTCGGTGTGTTGTTCAACAACACCGGCCGTGTGGAATCTGTTGCTACCATCAGGCACGAGGAGTCTTCACTACCACCGTCACGTCTGGAGCAAAAAGCTGCATCCATTCAGCCCGGTCACTGCAAGTTCAAACGGGCTCCGCATGTCGAAGAAGGTCGAATTCAACGCGTCCAAATCTTGGATTTCCAAATACAAGCTTCCGCAGCTGTTCAACAGACTGGTCTTTGGGATGTGTTGGATTATAAATTATTATATATATATATGTATAATGTATGTGTTTAATACTTGTCCTATCTGATTGAAAACTCACACCAAAAAGACTCCAAAATTCTCCAAGACACCCGAGACTCGCTTCACCGCTTCACCCTCCCTCTCGCCTGGCCCCGGCGTTGGTCCACCTGCCGCCGCTCCTCGTCGTTGAGCCCCGCCATCTCGTTGAGGTCGCTGAAGACCTGGGTGGGCTGCAGGTGCACCCAGTCCAGAGGCTCCATCAAAACGGAAGATCAAGTAGCGTCCTTCCTTGTTCCTAGTAGTGAGGCCAGGAGCCCCGATCGTAGCCTCCGATCGCTCCGTTCGTAGCGATGCCCGAAATGCTCCGTTCGTAGCTTCTTGCTCCTACCCCGCCAAAGAAGCACCCATCAAATACCCCAGCCCCGAGGCTCCAGAGGAGCGGAATCGATCCCCCGAAATCACTTTCACCGTCCAATGACCGACTGCAGACCACAAGCGTCCAGAATCCCGCCAACACCATCCGGAACATTCCGGAATAGTTATTCTTCCCAAAAGCAACAGTGGATTCGCCCTTCAGAATGATCAGAATGATCGTCTTGAGATTCCTCAGCCAGAACCTTCAGTGATCACCAGTTGTAGAGAGATCAGTGTCTTCAGGTCTGTGTCCACCCATCCCCATCGGGGAACGACGTGGGAGGTCGCAGCTGGCGGCGCTCCCGCCGAGGAGCATCCATGAAGAGAACTGCTCGGAACTGGCGTGGCAGGAAGCCTGGTAAGCCGAGGCTGATGAGGCCCAGGTAATCTGGTCCACCTGGTTTTCCCCAGGAACAGAAGAACAAATGGTTGGACCTGGAAGGGTATGGCCTTCCAATCCAAGTGGCAAAAGGAAAAGAGCGAACAATCGTGCTTTCAATGTAGCAGGAGGGTGTAGTGTACAGTGTATACGTCATTTCAGCACTGGCAGGCACTACTACCACTACTTGGACTTAGGTCCTCTCAGAGCACTCAACGACTGTTGGGAGAATGGGGTGGCGAAAGCCGGCCACAGCCGGCCACAGGGCAAAACTGCCAAGCAGGACTGACTGGTACTGAGTAGGGAATGAAGGAAAAAAAGAAACAGATTCTTCATTTGGATCCAGCCACCCTCATTCCCTGCCAAGCACAAGTCAGAGGAGTGGGGGAACTGGCCGCTGTGTTCCCTTGAACATCGATGTTCCAGCTTCGTCACTGGCGGACCGAAACCTGGAGACCTGAAGCAAAACGGCACCCGCCACCGACTTGCAGCCCTGTATGGCCCATCGCGACTTGTAACAAACTCTTTCACTTCACCACCACCAACATGCGCAAAACCCCAGGAGTTCCGCACCACCTCCGTTCGCCCCACTCCGTTCCGCCCCCACTCCGTTCTGCCCCCCAGGCACCATTGTCGCCCATGGGCGAAGCCAACCTCGGACCGAGCTGGGGACCTGCTCAGAGCGGTTCTCGTGGGAGAAAGGACGCTACTAGGAGCTCCTGGCCTTACTAGTAGTAACAAGAAGCTACTAGGAACAAAGTGCATCGCTACTAGGAGCAAGGAAGCTACTAGGGGCTCCTGGCCTCACTACTAGGAACAATGTTCGCTACTAGGAAGTGTGACAAACGACGCAGGGCTTCATGGAACCTGTTTCATGGAGTGGTTGACCCATGTTGACCCCCATTGGAGTTTTTGAAAAGGTCCCGCCACCACATGTTTTTTTTTAAAGTTAAAGCTTAACATGTGTTCACCTGCACTGTTCCATTTGTAGATTCTGCTCTTAGGAAAGTCATGACTTCTAACAGTTATGGTATGTGAGATAACTTCTCATGATATGTTACGAGTACTTTGAAAAATCCGAAGCCCATTCAACTCCACGTCCCACATCTCCTGAGGAACTTCCCCAGAAGGCAGGTCCTCTACAACTCTGCCAGCACCAGTCGGGCGAGATCTTTGATCTCTGAAGTGAGCTCGATGTACGATCATCAAACAAGAAGAGCACATCAAACCAAGCTGAAGTCTTAACCCTTCATCCTCATCCATGACATCTTGATCCTTGACATGTTTGGTGAGATATCACTTGAGCCTCACCGAGCTGCCAATGAAGCAGCTCGAACCACAGGACCTCCAAGGGGTACATCATCAAAGTGAGCCTCGGGCAGCTACTCTGGCTTCTACTCGAATGTGGAGTACCTAACTGTCCAGGTCTTGTACATAAAGATCAACGAATAATGCATGTTCATCTACTATAGTTCTGACCCACCCCAGAAGTTTAGGGCTTTAACTCACTTGCCATCGGAGCAGCGAGTCAGCGTACTCCAAGTCTAATCGCGTGCTTGGCACTGCAACTGAGCTGTCAAGGACAGCTCGTTCCTCCATCTAAACGACGGCACACTTCTATAAACAGTCAACATGTTTCGTTTTCCAAAACGACCGTTTTCAGGATGTCCGATGTGTTCTGCAGTTGTTGGATCCCAAACACCTCCCTCTCACTCACCTCATCAACCTCACCACCACCTCCACCATTCAAAGGATTCCAGGAGATGGGCGTGTACAAAAATAGGGAGACCTCCCAGGCAATCACCCCCTAACAAAAGGGACATCGACCCGTCTACCCCTTGCGGCAAAGTATGGAAATCTTATCATTCTTATCAACTCAGATGATCGGATGGATGAAGATATTGTCACGACCATCAGACCACGTCATATCTCGCAGACAGACCACATCTGGACATGGACCCTGCAGACCGAACACCACATCACCCGTTTGAATCCGAGCGGCAAGTACCTCTGCTCGGGCTCTAAGGTCCCAGTCAACCTGAGCGGTGACCAACGTGAGGGTTCCACTGGGTGACCCCGCCAGGCAGAACAAGGGCGTTAGAGGGACTCCGAAAGGTTCACCGGACCGATCTCCAGCTGATTTTCAGGGGGGGTTCATGATTTTTTCAGGGGGGGGCAGCACCTCCGACGATCCCTCTTCGTCCGAAGCGCGGGATGATGCGTTTTTTGTTCGGAAAAGCATCGAACCAAAGCCGTGTGCAACGCTCCGGACCGTTCCCGCTTGGGGGGGGCAGATGATCCACCGAATTTGGGGGGCAGGTTTTGTTCCACCGCAGTTCGTGGAATGGGCCGCCCAACGAAGGGATGGAAGCTCTGCGGAGGGGTCAACAAAGTCTGAGCTGGTTTGAGCTGGTCGATGATTGCAACCGATAATGGCCGAATCTGAGGTTGATCTTTCCTTGGTCTAAGAGCAATTCCCAGTGAAGCTGAAGAGGAGCATCGCTGACGAAGGCAGGATGCAAGACATGGATTTTGACAGGCCGGATCTCTCTTTGGTCCAGATTTATAGAAAGCAAGTTCTGCGAGTTGAGAACTCTCATACTCAGACGCTTCGTTCACAGGCCTTGGTCCCTTAAAACAATAGGGGTCGGACCCCTCCATATGACGCAAAGACTGGCAGATTAGTGTGGATCGGCTTCTGCTTCGGCGAACGGTTTGAAAGGCGCAAAAGGAGATGCCCTTGTTACTAGTAGCGATGCCCCTTAGCTACTAGTAGCTGCTATGCCCTTGTTAAGGAGGGTTCGGGGAACATCTGAAACGATGTCGGTCCCACACATCAAATCGATGATCTGGGCTCGATCAAGTGAATATCTTGCACCTGTGGCCGAGGTCCTAGGTATTCCAACACATGCGGAGCGTTCTCCCTTTCGGATTGAATATGAGCAACCACTGCAAATCCCCTCTTGAACGGTGCCTCTGATCAGCTTGAATAAGATCTCACAAAAATACAGACCCAACCTCCATCCAACTCCAAACCGCCGACCTTTAATGTAAACTCTTGATTGATAATTGATAACCCCCCATAAGAAGAGGTGTTTCAATCTACCTCTTCGTGTTCCATGGTTTCCAGCTGCTGCCGATGTGACCTGTGTGTCCACGGTGGCGTCTTACCCATCCCACAAAGGGATTCGTTATGCGGATGGGAAGGCGAGGGAGTAGAAGAGGTGTTTCAATCCAAATGGAGGGGGTTCATTCTAATCAATATAAGCCTACATGAATCCTCGCTGCATTGCTCGTATGTTGCTTCTCTTGATGGCCCGAGCGGCGTCCGCTCGGAGACCGCCAGGGCCAGGATGCCACAGAAGCAGGGCAGCGCGCCGATCAAACTGAGGTCGTTGACGCCTCGTTTCGCGTGGAGCGGATCGCGTGCCACACGGTGGTTCCACGCGTTTCGGGGCCACGAGGAGCGCATCGACGTCCGGGGAGCGCACAGCGCGTCCGGAGCTGGCCCGAGCGAAGCTGCAGAGTCGAAGAAGCTTTGACTCATGAACGACCCCGGCGCCAGGTGGAGTGACTCCCAGGCGAGTCATTGGAAGTTCTGGGGTAACAAGGACCAATCGATGAGGAAGAATAGCGTTATAACATCTTCTATATTATAAGCCATCTAATGGGCCTCAAAAGGATCCTCCACATGTCACACTATCTGTTGCGCCTCAACAATCCGATCCAATGGGGGTCAGACAAGCCCAGAAGCCCTGTCGTTCCTTTCGCCGGACTGGCCACGCCGGCGGTCGCGCGAACCGCGCGCCCCCGCGCGAACCGCATCGCGACGTGCGCGACGAGCGGCCGTGGATGTCCAAGGTGGCGATGTTCAACGCCAGCGCCTGGAAGAGCAAGGCCACCACCTCCCAGCGATGCGGCGCGCTTCGAACGGAGCGATTCAGAGGGTCTGTCTTTCGCGGGTGGAGAGCACCCGCGTCCGGGTTTTTGCCGGGTGAAACCCCGGGCGCCCTGGGAGGTGGAGAAGGTAGCTGGACTTGTTGTAGTCTTCAGTACGGCTGGGAGAGTAGTCTTTTGGAGGTGAGTTTCTAGAACACTGCTGATTTGTAGGCATAAGTATTAAATAAACGGTATATCTCAAAGGATTGCAGTAAGGCAGGTGCAGGGTGGATGTATTTCTTTAACAACAATGTGAAGAAGTTATGTCTGGTTTACGTCTCATGCCATGTGTTTTACAGTATCTTGATGCATGATGGAACTTCTTTACTGAAAAAGGCATCGGTCGCAACCCCGCCAACTTCTCCTTCCTCCAGAAAGAATCAAAATTGCGCCAATTTGCGGGTTCAAAAACTAGCTCTAGTCGCTTCAGAATGCCTCGTTTTCAAGCCATGCGATCCACCATGGCCTGCCCCACCCCAACAAAAATAACAAGGTTCCTTGCTTTGACAAGGAACAAGAAGCTACTAGTGACAAAGGGCAAGCCGCTACTAGTAACAAGGACATTTCCTACTAGGAGCAAGGGTGCCGAATCCTTTGAAGGTTTGAAAACGCCACTGGAAGCCGGTCCGGGTGGAAGGGCGGCCGGCGCAGTCACGCGGGTGCCGAAGAGTAGTTCTGTTCGATGAATCGACGGGTTCGTGTGACTTGATGGAAATACCGAGGTAGCAAATAGATGGACAAACCTTATTGCGCTCAGTAATCAGTCTGAAAAAAAGAAACACCGTTCAATATCGCAGGACAGTCGGACCTTCCAAAAAGGAAAAATGGCAAACGGGACCCCGAAACATAACTTTCTTGACCAACTACAGCATCAGTGAACATGGAAGTGGATTGGTTCCAGGATCCGAGCACCTCAACCTGGTCTTACAAACACTCGAAATGGGAAGGGCGATGTTTTGTCCTGCAGTCCCCATTCATGTCCATTCGATCAGTTTCTTCTGGCCATGGTACACTCGCCACATAGGGCATGTTGACCTGCACCCAGCAGAGACCTGAGCGCAGGTCAAGATACCAGTTTCGTGCAGCGGTGCACATATCACTGGTGCATGTTGAAAGGCTAGACCAAAAGCTCCTCCCAAGATTGGAAGTGACAATATCATGCTACATCCCCAATCTGTTCAAACTGTTCAAAACCAGTGATTGTAGGTACGCTGGCGGTGGTTGGCTGCGTTGATTGCGCTAAAAGATCACCCCAAAACCACCACAAGGTAGCTATAGGGTTTTATCCTTTGATTCTACAGCCTACCAAACATTGGTTTAAGGCCCGAGTCGTAGTTCATATCCCCTTGTGGAATGGAACAACTTTGCACAGAAGAAAGTGAGAAGCTATCTACATCATTATATATATTATAGGAGACAAATGGAGACAAACAAAGTTGCAGCTTTCCAAACATAAAGAGGACATGAAGGGAAACCTCACCAATACTTCAGGTGTATGTGATTTCCGCGGCAAAAAGACAGGCGAGGTTCACCTCTTCAACTGTCGCAACTAACTTCCAACCTCTGAAGGGGACACCGAAATCCGTTTGCCGCACCTCTCTTGGTGATGGGGGGACGAACGCACCCAGGTTGCGGTTGTACCCAAAACTCTGGGATTGATAGAACACAGTCGCCACAAACGTGGATGGATCATGGACCCTCTACAAAACTTCAGGAAAATAAGCATCACTGGCCTTCTCAAGCTTCTGCTGTTGAGCCTGGCAACAAGCTTCTTTTCACGCCCGTTCCTGTGGATTTCTTGAGAAGACACAAGAGTACAACTCCAAGATTACTGACAAGATCTCCCAACAGGCCCTGGAGAAGATCTCCCAACAGTGAGGTCACACTGCTGTGTTTCGGGCTGCTCACACAGACGTCCGAAAGCAGGGGCACCCCTTTGACTTGAGAGCGTCTCCAGAGAACATCTGTTCTCCCTCTGGACAGTGCAGAGTCTGCCCTTCGATTTCCAAACAGAGCGCTGCCCTTGAACTCCCAATTGAGGCTGCGAAATCCAAATTGAGGCTGTTGCGAAATCCAAAGAAATAAACATCTGCCACAAACCCACGGATGCTTCTGTCTCTTGAAACCCGGTCCCTTTCTTTTAAAAGCCTCCCGGTGTCCAGTTCCAACATCACCACCCAGCGCCCGTTCCATCTCAGGTACCCAGAAGGTAGTAAGAGGTGCCCTGCAGCATCATCCTGAACAGCGAAAAATCCCCCACAAGGCTGTGGCATTTACTCAGTCAAAATCTGCTTTGGTTTCCTGTCAATCATGAGTCAAAGAAAAATAAATACATGGAAGCAAGAATTGAATTCCCTACAGAATATGTCAGAGATCCTCGCTGTGGTGATCTTTCTCTTTTTCTCTTCACACGACCACAAATGACTTGAATGTTTTGTCCAAATTGCCAAAGGCTTCCTCGATCAGGTGACGGTGTCTTCTAGTGAGATCACACAAGAGTGTACAGCATGACTTGCTTTGACTGACTTGCTACTTGCTGTGTCTTTCGAAGAAAAGGAATTTGCAAAATATATAGTAAGCAACAAAATCCTGGATGTGACCAAAACAGGGTACATCATGGTAATGCCTACTCAAGCTACCTGATGGACCCACCCTTTGCGGATCAGTCAGTCTGAACCAAAAAGGGGTCCATCGGCCCCATCGGCCCCAGCGCGCCGAGTGTCCTCGGCCGTTTCGGAGTCCAAAACCCCGTGGACCCATCCACACGTTTCGGTGGCACCTGATGCCCAAGGACATGCACACGCGCCTCCGGACGGAGCAATCAGGTGCAGCTCCGAGGAAGGCAACTCCAGAGCAGGTCGGGGGAGAAGGATTGTGGCTCAAAAAGGATCATCGACTCCACACGCTCATCTGGGTCGGAGTTGCATCTGTTTTGAGGATTTGGAGGGGTACGCTATGTCAGGAGTCTCGTGTTCCTTCCGTTTGCAAACACTGCAAATCAGGTGTACAACGCATATCTTTGATAGTACTTTGGATGTTGAAATATGATGCCCTACGCCTTGCCAGAAACTTGGATGGCATCTTTGAAGAGCATGATTGCAACCTACTTGATCATGATTTAATGCGATGTTGAAGGACGATGCCAGGTTGTTTCACAAGGGTGAGCATTGAGTTGTTTGTCTTGAGTTGTTTTGTCTTCCATGTTCTTGCAGGATGGCAGAAATATTCTTACGCCAAAAGGTATGCGTTTCACTGTCATGTGGATCGCCAATCACTGGGAGTGGCGATCCAAAAGGATTGGCGAACCAAAAGGCCACATCGTGTGTCCCAGACACCCAGCGCTGGTCGTGTGTGAATGATGATGGAGCCTGTTTGCAGGCCGACATCCTCAAAAAGAGTGACCATATTTAACAGACTGCTACTGTTTGAGACAGTGTTGTCTCAACTGACTGTCCACTTAGCTCACCAGCTACGAGGACTCTGATCTATTTGAAGTGAACCCTGGAGGTGAGTAGAACCATGCAATACAACGTAACGTGCCCGCCGACCGACCGACCGACCAACCGATGAAAATGATGGAATGAGTCAGCAAAGGAACCTCTCTCAGCATCAATACCCCGAACCGAACCGAAAGAACTGACCTACATGGTGTTGGAGGCCACACGACCACTCACTTGAACACAACCTTTTCAACCCCCTCCGGAAAAAAGTAAAGAGAAACACATTCACATACCGAAAGAGAGGGAGAGAGAGAGAGAGGGAGAGACGAAAAGTAAAACAGAAAAACACACACAAACAGTCCAAAAAACTTATGTTCAGACTCCCCAAGCCCGAAAAAGGCCATGTGCAGATCTAATTCGAGATCTTCCACCCAAAGCCCCGGCACCGCGCCGTTTGGCGCCCGACTTCGACTGACTCCTGACTCCTGGGTTCCGAGGGGCGCATAGGCATCGTAGCACTGCCACTGGGCCTGGAGCCTGGCAGGACATGGGAGAACTCTCCGCCCGGACATCGGACCAAATGGGGAGTAAAAACACACACAAAATACCGGCGGGGGGGGTTTGGTTCTCTGGAGCGCATGGAGAAGGAAAAGCAGAACTCTCCAACTGTCCGTCTCATCCACCGTCGTTGGGCCATCGAAAAGAAATGAAGTTGATCTTTGATGATCTTGGTACTCTTCTATCCATGGGGCTATTCAGCGGAGTTTTCAGTGAAGTGTCCTACGCCAGATGGTCTTCTTCGAGTCCCCCACTCATGGAAATACCAAACCGCGTGACCCATGCGGGCAGCGGTTTCTTCCACTAGTGATTCTTTTGTGGTCTGTGGTGTTCACCAATGCCAAGGATACAAGGAGATTCAGGCTTTTGTGCGTTGATATATACTACTCCTGCATTGAGTGATCTGGAGGTTCTGGTGCAAATCCCATGTGATGGGATGAGTGGTGTCCGCGGGGTGCATTGTACTCATACCATGTATGGTGGCACGCGGAAGACCTGCAATGTCTGTAAGGGAGTTTGTTATGCAGGGCGACAGATTAGCAAGAAATTGCGGCAACCATGTGGAACTTCCGGAAGGGTCTTGTTCAGACGGAGATAGTTTGGGCTGGTAGTTTGCTCGGAAAAAAAGAAAAAAAAACCTACTACTCCTGCATACCTACCTGTTTGACAGCATGCCATTCTGAAAAGTCAGAGACAGCTAATCGAACCAAAGACTTTTCAAAATCCCTTTTGAGCGGAACGGACCATGGTCCATGGGACCAATAGAATCTGCACGTGGACCTAAACCACCTTAGACTAGTTATAGTCATAGTGTATAGATGTGTATAGCTTCATGTGGAACCACCTGTGCCGGAGAAACCGGACAACGGAGAAACTGCCGGAGACCGCCACAGGTTACCAAATTGCCGGGAGCCGCAAAACAGGGCTGTTTTTGAGTTTGGACACAGCTCTTGACCATTCTAGGCCATTCGCACTGAAATGACCATTGCGCTCTCCAAACTGCTCAACCAAATGAAAAGGCTCCAGGTGTGCCCCGGTGCCCAACGGCCCCGTGGTCCCCCCCCCGTCCCGTTCCGCGGTCCACCGCGCGGTCCCCGCCGTCGGAAGAGCTGGATGTGCCGCTGGGTGCGGAACTCCACCTCTGCGCCGGGTGCTGGTCCCATCCGGTCCCCGAGCGAGTTACGACACTGCGGGTTCTGATCAGCTTCGGTTATTCGATGATTCGGTTGCTATGGTGGGAAAGAAAGAAGGCAAGGGAGAAGGAATCGCCAATCAATTGAGCAAGCTGGAGTGGGAGTACTTTCCTAGTAGGGTCAAGCTTGCAGCCAACCCGCGGTTTTTTCTGGGCAGGACATCAGATTCTACGCGAAGACACTCAGGACTAGATGGACTCGATCCTGGTGAGGCAAGCTGACACATGACATGAGGTGTGTCAACAAAGTCTGTTGATAAATGAAAACAAATCATGAAAACAAATCATTGACAAAGGTCTGTTGATAAATCATGAAAATCCTCGTTTTCCATGTGGGTCATACCATGACCTGTGGAGGATGACCGGTGCATCTATAGCGATGTGGCGATGTGGCGTGCCGCCCTGTGAAACCTGTGGGCGGGGCCCTACTTTCTTGAACAGGACAACATGAAGACACACAGAATCCACAAGTGCCATTTCCTCTCAAATTGCGTGGGTTGACCAAAATGACAGATCAACAATGGTGGCGAGCGGAACAAGAACACGTGCCATCCGAAAACCTACACAAAGAACACTTGTCGAGTCCAGTTCAAAAATCTAACTAACAAGGACCTGCATGCTCTGTATCAAACCGAACATCTCCAGTGATCGATCCAAAAGTGGGAACCCCCAAGGATTGGTCAGGAGTGTATATGTCCTAATTGTGGAATGTTCGGAATCCTTCCAACTTCTAATGGATACATAGGCAACCCCTCCCACCACCCATCAACGGCGACACTCCAAAAGGAACCACTCCCTGCAGTCGAAGAGGCTGCTTTGAGCAACTCCTCCTCAAAGCCTAACATGTCCTGTGGCAACACTCATAGGTTGAGGACACTTCAGAAGGGAGAACGATGAAAGTGTTTTAGGTGAGGTCACGCTCCTGAAATGAGACATCCACCCCCTCTCTATGCTTCGAGTCCATGTTCTGGCCGATTGGATGGGGCAGCGTGGTAGTGACTGGTAGTGTGGACGAACGAAGGGTCAGGTGGACCTCTGAAAAAAACAGAAGACAAGTGGCATTCACACGGTTTAAGTTTCAGGGAAGGATGATGCAAACCAGCATTGACGTGGAGTTCCTCCAAGGCACAAACCAATCGTTGTAGGCCTTGGTAAGCGTCTACAAAACAGATGTAAAGAATTGACAAGGAGCGGATGTTCCTACGGAAAACCGATGGAAACAAAACAACTGTTTTCCTTGATCAATGAGTCATGGTGACCCCACCATGTCGTGGTCACATGTGGTCGCCCGTCCTGATCGCCGCCATAAGCGAAGGCGCCCTTTCCCAGGTAGTCCGCAGCAACTGGTCACAAGGTGGAACTGCGAGGTGTTTTGGAGGAGAGTTGCACTCTGCTGCATCCATGTTCAAGAAAACTAAATATGCAATTCCAAGAAACGACCTTGAGATGGATCACATTCCAAAGATCTATATCACTGGGTTTTTGCACGCACATCTTAGCTGGAAGAGGAAACGATCTCGTGCTGGAGGGGATCTCGTGAGACAAACACGTCTTGCAGGGAAAACGAAGGAAATGCGAGACCGTGCGAAGGTAGCTGGCTAAGAAATCACAAGAAGAAGCTAGCAACATGCTGGCTTCAGTGGGAAGGTAGCTGGCGTATGCTGGGTGTGTCGAATCATGAGCCTCCCAGATAGCATGTTTACACCTATACCGTATACACTCCTCTCGTGGGTCTTATCTAGCCTTTGAACTGCCGGGTGAAAGCTTTAAGGGGCGGAGCAGCCAAGACTATATCATCCAGGCAAGCTGCCGACTTCGGCGTCAGTGATCGGGGCGCAACCTTCTTGTTGTTCGTCATCCCACACATCCACGTGAAGCCACCGTGGCTCGTCATCGGACAACTGTGGCTCGTCATCGGGAAGATGAAACCCCCTTCTAGCTCTGGAAAATGAATCATCTTGGACAAGGTGCCTGAACCTATGTCGTTCTCGGGGATTGTACAAATTGCGCCGTCTCTGAGAAAGTCAGTCTGTTTGGTCAAGGTCGATTTTTTCTGGGCGGTTTGCGAAAAAGTAGTCAACAACCAATCTACCAAAAACAAAGTACGAACAAGCATCCAGGTAGGAAAGGAGAGAGAGAGAGGGGCCAAAACCAAGACAAACTTATTCAGTGCCACAAAGAAAAAGAAAAAGTAAAGTAAACGCTGCCCGCATCCTCCTCGCCCTCCCACAGAACAAATGCTTTCCTGCCTGGACTTGGACCTTTGGTTCAGGAAAAGTGGCACACCTACTTTGGGATCAAAATTGAAGACTCAACCATCCCACACAAAGATTTATCAAACCAAATATCCTAGTAAATCCCTGGAATTGAGGATTATATATATAACGGTATGCCGGTATGCATATTATATACGCTCTTGAAAAAATGGTTTCTGACAGCTGCTTTCTTTCTCTGCGGACTTAGCAACTACGTAGCATCGTTTATGCAAACGAAAACACCTTTTGTAATGACTTGGGTTTTCTGGGTGTCTTTGAGGGCACCCTGCAGTCGGCGGCAAGGAGCGTCAGCCCTTATTACATATTTGTCAGTAATAGGATATGATGATATAGCATAGTATTATATCACATGTATAAAATGATAGGGTAATATATCACATGTATAGAATAATACTGCAATACGATATGATACAATGAATATATATATATATAATCTCCTAGTATGTTCATATCGAGCACTGTGGTGCTAGATGCTGGATTCGGACTCGTCTCCCGCCGTCCACATCCTGCCTCGTGGAGGCTCTGAGCTTGGGGATCCGGGAGCCGGCAGGGCCTTGGCCTTGGCCTTGGCTTTGGCCTTGGCCGATTGACCTTGGCCGATGGCTGCGGCGGTTTCGGTCGGGTTTCGGCAGAAAATCACAGGGTGGGTAGCACCAGAGCAAGCAATCGGTCACCTCCTTACGAGGCCTGCCAGCAGTTTGCCACCAGCTGCAATGGGTGGTCGCTTCCCATCTTCAATGGACCAATTCCGCTCACTGCCAGTGGTGAACCCTCACTGGTGGTTGAGCTTACGCACCTGAGACCATGACACCGACTTTGAAGGGTCGGATTCTTCACTGGAACAACTCAAGTCTCTATCTCTGGAGTGCATGTTGCTTTTGAGTGTTGAAGTGACTAGTTCAAATCCAGAGACTGAATTGAAGAAGTGCTGTTTTTCTCGGGCTCCACCTCGGCCCTCTCTTGTCCAAGTTCTCGTATGTGGAGATGTCCAAGTTCTCCGGGGCCAAGGAAGTCACCCGAAAACTCTGGACTCCCACGTACCTCCTCTGCTTCATGGAAGAAATCCCCAAACCTGCAATGATTCATGGACCAGGCTGTTTAATGTCCATCCTTCAAAACTTCAAAAAGGCGGTGTCCGGATGAACACCCGCATCCCATTCCACATCAGTCACCCCTGCACCGGCGTTTGAAAGCGTCTCAGCTGGCGCTCGGACTTTCCATCTCCGGCCGATCCTGCCAGCGGTTGTTGTCCTGCTGGCGCTCAGGACCGTGGAGACGGATGGAGACGGACAGAGATGGACTGGAGACGGGCAGGTTCGTTCGAACCAAAAACGCCATGGAGATCCAAAGGTGGTGATGCAAACGTGAGAGGGGTCAGAATAACAGAAAGTCTGTAGCAAAGCTTTGCAGGAAAAAAGAAGAAGGTGATGGGGAAGAACATCAGTGTGTTTTCAAACACAGCCCGACCCAACTCCCCCAGCCTTCAAGAAGGGAATGCGAAGCATCCTCAGCATCGACCCCACTGCTGCGACTGACGAACCGAGGGGCTCCAAAAAGAGATCTGAGGTCAGAATTCATCTCACCCGAAGAGGCAAGACACCCATCCAAAAAAAGAGAAACTGCAAAAATCCTGAAGTTCGCCTGTGTGTGTGATCTATTTGAGGCTACTGCTGATTCATCAGTAGAGTGTGCAAGGGGTCACTTGTTTGGCAGTTCTATGTATATAATTGCATATATATATATATATGTATATGTGTGTAATTGTCTTTTTGCAGTTTATACTGTCTGCGACCTGTCTTGTATTTACAATCCAGACTTCTGCTCAATCCCTTCAATCAACTGGAGCCAGCCCGAGCTGCTTCATGGGCAGCAGTTTCCCCAACAAGCCGCAAACCAGGGTCTCAAATGATCTGCAAATCAGACCTGTCGGCAGGAGCCGACCAGCGAATCACCTGCTGGCAGCTGGCAGCTGGCAGATGTTTAGCCACTGTGTCAAGTGGCTGAAAACACCATGTCCAATGCCTCTGCCGAGACTCTGCCCACCTTGCTTCTCGAAGTCGGCGTAGCGTGCATTCAACACCTTAGCCGAGGAGCCCACCCACCGGTCGCGACGCGCTGAAAAAAAAAGGGGTGGGCCCGGAGTGTACGGTATGAATGTCATTTTGGGCTGAGGTTGAGTCTGAATCTGTTGGTTTACCATGGTTTACCGTGGTTAAAACCATCAGTATGAACAAAAAAATGGTTCTGCTGTTCCTGATGGCTGCGAGGTCCTTCCTTTGAAGGAAACATCATGATACGGCGCGCCGTCGCGCGCGCTTCGCGCACGGCAGACCCTTCCAACGCACGCAGCAGTTTTCTTCGTGCCAGGCACATTGATCTGCTCAGAGCCAGGGATGGGCAGTCGAACGAAGCGCGTGAGAAGCCTCGTGGAATAGCCTTGGCCAAGGCAATTCTGGCGGATCCCACTAGCCAGCTGGGGGCATATGGGGACAACCCATAGCCCGGACTTGGCGTTTGCCTTGGTCATCGAACATCTGGCTTCTTTTGCTGAAAAGGGCTGTGGCGGCAAGCGCTTTGTTTCATGCACCTTCAGGGCAAAGGGGTAGGGATTCTCAGCGCTTTGTGAGGATTGCATAGTAAGGATTCTCCATGTTTCTCAATTTTGTTGAGGATTCTAAATTTCTTGTTGATTACTCACCAACCTGTCTAGTGTCCAAAAACTCTAAGCGGTGGTGCATTTCTGAAGCTATTGCATCAGTGGCGGAGACCCCCTTCGGTTCGTGCTGCCTCCGACCCTGTGCAGTCCGTCGGGCCAAACGTTCACACATGCGAGAGCCAGAAAATCGCCGTCACATCCAAACAGCGCGGTGTGTCAGGTGTCAGTTGAAAACAGCCCTGTTTGGACGTTGGGGTCTTTTGGAAGTGGTCCCGCTTTTTCGGACGTTTTGAGACGTTGTCCGCTGACGCAGGCGATGTGGGGCGGAGACATCATTTAAGAGACATCTCGAGGATCTTAAGGTTTTCAGGACAAAAGGGATGGGTAAAGCCATGCCCTGAACAAAGGATAAAGAAAAACAAACTCAAAACGTCGAGGGACAAAACATGGCCCCGAAAGGGGTGGTTGGTGTGATCATGGAGAGCGAGCGACCCCGGGGGGGGGGGGCGAAACTCAGATAGACGAAATCGTGGGGGGCGGTCTTTTCAGAAGTACCCAAGATCCAAGTCACACCCAAAAGCAACTAGAGCATTTGTTGGAGGAGGGAGATCCCCTGAACAGTTTCGGTGCTGACCCTTGCTAGGCGCCTGGATGACCGCGTGAAGATCTGCCAAGTAGCTGTGAGAGCATACGGATGCGTGCATCGAGAGCCAGATTGCAAAGAGGAGATACACTGCGGAGCAGCCCTGGCCGCAGTCCATGCCATCCATCGTTGCATGACCACAGCTTCATGACCGACCCATTGATGTAAGCAACACTCAAGTAACACTTCCATTGTGGGGCAATTGACCAACCAAGGACTTACCGTACACTGACAGCTGTTTGGCCCATAGCCCCCGAGGACGGGAGCTTGACAGGGTGCTTTGGACCTCCATGAGGAGCTTCATCGACAGAGCAGGGTGGTTGTGATGTGTCCGACAATCGAGAGGGGATTCAATAGGGTGATGACAGTTCTAAACTGGGAGACGTGTGTCCGCAATTCCTCAACATTGTTGTTGGCCTAATGCTCCATGGTCCTATGGGCTGCTTCCGTGCGCGACTTATACACCCGGCATCACCCGGCTTTGGCTGGAACACCAATTTACATCAATTTACTCACCAAATCTTGCTGGGTCTCGCCTGTATGATCGCATGCGGCTGAGGTGAGGAAAAGTGAACCAACATCCCAAACCTCAAGCTGAGGTCGATGACATTTCACCTGCTCAAGAAAGATTCAATTGTTGTGAAAATAACCTTCAAACATAGCTCTCAACTCCTCCCGCAACTGGCCCAACTCATGCTTCAAGCCCTGTGCCTGCGAGACGTAGTAAAAACCTAAGGGGGCCAGGCCACAAGATACGACAGCACACTGGTTCGCCCATGATAGCATCCCTTGAATGTTTGTGGAAGGCAGCTCATGCCAACTATCGAATTCTGCATTATATAAACAGAATGCATAATTATGCCAACCAGCGAATTCTGTTGGACTTTTGGGAGTTAGACTCTGACAGAGAAACCGATCCCTCACATGGGTTTAGTGCCAGAAGTGCTCAAAACTCAGAGGTACCAGGAAATGTGGACCGCAGGATCTGTTCTTTTGTCCTTTCCTCCCCAAACATGGACCCCAAAGAGTCAAAACAAATTAGACCCACAAGCGAAAGGAGCAGAGTCCACATGCCTACCCACACGCCCCAGCTCCGAAACGCACGTCCGTCGTGAAAAAAGAAACACTTCCATGTCGTGTTTAAAACCACCAGGCAGCACAGCAGGAAGGGCGGCACCGCAGCTTCGAAAAAACCCTCACAAAAGAAAATGCAGATCCTGAGCTTCGGGCGCCACGCGTTCGCCACGCGTTCCACGCGCGGCTTGAAAGAGTGAACGACGAGGAGAACCGTTGGAAGGGATCCGACGTGGACCGAGAGCGCGGTCCATGTTCCATTCCACGACTGACGAGGTTACTTGTTCCTAGTAGCTTTTTGTTACTACTAGTAAGGCACTTGTTACTAGTAGCGATGCCCTTTGTTTCCAATAGCAAACATTGTTCCTGGTAATGAGTCATGAGACACCCTGGTGATCCTTTACTTTAACCTTGCAAAAACTGCTCAGGAATCAGGAACTTCAATTGAAGCACTTTGAGAAAGCTGCTGGGAGCCTTCTGAACTTCTGCCTCCCGCAAAAAACATAGAATCCGCTCCTCCACTGCATAACGATCCTGGAGAATCGAAAAACATTGAAGAACACCCAACGATCCTGGATTTTTTGAACAGCAACCCACCAGCGGCTGGGCGACGACTTGGTGTCGTGCTCGACGGCGCGACGTTTGTTGAGCCTCCAAAAATGAAAAAGGGAAAAGAAAGAAAACATTCAACGCAGTGCGACAAGCGGCATTTTGAGAAACAATGCACCGACCAAGTGATACAGATTCATCTTGCTGGTCGTGAGTTCTACCTGAGCCAAAACCGAGGAGCGGGTGGGTTAGAAGTTTTGAGGGTTCGGACGGAACCACCAAACTTGAGGTTTTTGCAGTTTCTAGCTCACCTCCAAGTATTGCCGAGTGTAGGAAAGTGACTTCTGTGGTCACAAATAGACCACGTTAGACATCACACACGTGTCGGAAGCCCGGTGGTCATCCAACAAGTCGAAAGTTTCGCCGCACGTCCTCACGTCCCCGCACGGCCGAAGGTTCCGAACGACATGCCCAGGCCACAAGGTCTCGAATGTCCTCCCGGAAGAGGTTGAAGAGCTCCACCTGGAGCACAGTCCGACACAAATGAATTCGGTCTCGTATGTCCTCTGGTTGACCTCCTACACACGACAGGGATCGGTTCATTTGACCGGGGGTCAACCAGCGTGCCGAACCTGCGTGCAGTTTTCACCCACGCAAAACCACTGAATCCAGCCATCAGCGCCGCGCCTGCATCTTGAGCCTGACCTCATCCTTGGTAAAGCGCTGGTCCTCGGGAGAGTGAAGTGAGTGAAGGTCACTGGATGGTGCCATCTCGGTGAAGCTCGGAGCTCAAGTCGCTCAGCAAAGCACTATACGTCGTAGTGACCGGTGACCTTCCCAGAGGTCACCTCGTAACCTTGCCTCGGTCCAAACGAGGTGACCGTCCCGTTTGGGTGGGCTTTTGCGGCTTTTGTTTCTTTTCACGGCCTCTTTTGATCGCTGAGGCCCCGCGTCGCCAGCGCGTGAAAGGAACACCAACGGTATCGCCTCGCGTCGGTACCGCCTCGGGTCGAGGCCCGCCTCGCTCTGCGGTGTTCGACTCGGTCGGTCGAACACCACGGGTCGGGGGGGCTTCGCGAACGTCGACGACCGAACCGGTCCTGGTCGAACTCGAAGTTTTCACGGTTGTACCGAAAGACCTGCGAGGGGCCACGAGTGAGTTCACGAAAGCGGTTCAGACCGTGATGGACATGGACATGTGGCCGGTCTGTTTGCAAGAGAACGTGCGGCGTACATCTTTGGAAGTCTGTGTCTTAGGGTATGAAGTCTGCCCAGCAACCCTCCAGTTCTATTTGGCCTGAGGCTCAGGGTCTTTCAGGGCATGAAATCTGTGGAATCGCACGTGAATCATGCGGCCCACCACCTGAGCACATTGAGTAGCGTATTTGAGGGTTGTCTCACGCGGCACACAAATCCCCACAACAAAAAGCACATGCAAAGAACCGAAGATCCAGCTGCATATGAACTACTGCCAAAACCTGTTGTGTGCGGTCAAGGAAATTGCTTCTCCCGCAAGGATCTTGCACTTAGGTCGCTTTGCCACCCTGCTTCAGAAAACCCCGAGAAGCACGCAAGCCAAATCGCTTTTGAGAACAACATAGAACAACGGGGCGGCAGAAACACCGTACACCCAAAATGGATGAAACACCGCGGGTGTCTCAAACCGTTGTTTCCTTCTTCCGCCCCCGGTCGTGGGCGCGTTGATGCCCACCCTCCAAAGCCGGCCTCCATGCCGGCCAGGCCCATCGCCGCCATCAACTCCATCGCCGGCATGGCGGGCGACGGAGTTGAGGGCGAGGAACGCTGGCCTGGCAGAGCTGGGAATGAAATCCGAGCATCGGAATCAAAGATCATCGGAATTCCTGGGTGGAGGTGATCATCGGAATCTCGGAGGATACCTGGACCATCAGGAGGATCACTGCCCACTGCCCTACAGGGTACCAGAAAGCCTGGCTAGTTGCTAGTCAATTGACAGATCCTCCAAAGGGTAGATGGCATCTACTGTAATTCATGGTGAAACAGCTTTGTTCCTGCTACTCATCCCATCTTAGAATCTAGTCTACATGGAAGTGGAACAGTGAAAGCTGAGTCCAGGTCTTCAGAGCCCAGGTCCAGAGTCCAGGTCTGCTGAGTTTCAGTCTTCGGTGACACTCATCGCTTCGGTGGTCCGACCCACGGACTCCAACGAGTCACGCCAAACAGGCATAGGTCGACCTCTGCAAACTGGCTGCCGATCCAGCGAGTCTTTAGTAAGTAACAAAGAACTTGGTGAGACTTCTGCATTGGAGCATTTTTAGGACCCTTCTGAAGTTCCAGACTCTCCCCTCAGCCCGTCGCCTCCAATCGGCTTTGCGCAGCACGCGCTCCACCCGAAAAACGCCCCAAGAAACGCAGGTCGGGTGACGTGAGGGACGAAGTTGTCAAATTGAGACACCGAGTGGGCTTTTGTACAGGAGTAGGCTGTCATCAAAGACTAGATTCTTTTTGGAGAACCTCCAACTGCTGAGTGTGAAACATCTTTGTCCATGGCACAGTCTTGGACTGAGCTGAGGCTCCACATTTGAGGATATCATATTAATAAAATATTGAGTGCCAAATACTCAATTTGACTATATATATATATATAATTCTATCTAATTCCGCAAGAAACTGGGGCCGCTGTTGGACAACTACTGTCACTCAGGGGTGGGGCTTTGCACGCACAAATGGCGCTTTTGGGGCATGTTCGAGCTTTTTCGTTCGACTTTGACTGCACACCAGACACAGACCAATTGGTCAGCCTTGAACAGGCTTCTGAGATTCTGAGCCAAACGAGCGCCATTCATCGTCTCCAGATCTAGCAGCGTGTCCCATTAAAACCCTGAGTTCCTTGTGATGGTGCACTGAAAGGCACATGGATTATCATGGATTTGGGCACACGACTCAGCCGCTCAGTAGATGACAAGCCTGTATTGCATGCTAATTCTGTTTCAAGATTGGAACTATATTTCAGGAACGTAGAGGGTACTGTATTGAAAAGGCATTAATTTTTTGAGTGTGAACCCAGAACCAATCCGTCAGCAGCAACGCACAAAGACGGCTGGGCCACAACTGCGTAGGGCCGCAAGGAAACAATAGGAAATTGAAGAACCAACATGAAACAACGACATTTCGAGCGCATGCAATTCTAGTGGTGACCCATTCCAGCACCTCCAATATGGAGTGGAAAGCATGCCAACCAGTCTCCGTTCGCTCGTTCGTTCGGTTCCATCGTTCGGAGACGAAAGACGAAGAAGACGAAGCACGACACCAGTCTCGACGAGATCGTGACGAGGTTCCACGGAGCGAAAGGTGGGTTCCCTTTTCGGCCTGGGCCTCAACCGGAAAGCTTTCCCTTTTCGGCCTACGAAGCTTCCTCAAAGGGGGTGCACCTCCGAAGAAATCGGGCCAGACTCCATGTCTGAAAATCCAGTAGGATTCTCCGGAAGGGCAAGTAGAGCATGACCACCCAGCAAAGTGGTCGGTGTCCCGGGTCCGTTTTCGGCTTGATGGTCCGGGTCTTTTTGGGCTCCTTCTGAGAAAGAAAGACCAAGATATATAGAAACGGAAGGACTGGAACCGGGACATATGCAGCACTCTTCTTGGTGCTGTTCTGAGTGAAGAAGACTCTTCATATAGGCATTTGTTGTTTGAGATGCGAGGTATTGCACCAATGAATTGTTCAGCCTGAAGCAAAACAAAAAGGTCCTAGTGACTACTGGCAAAGGACCTGTGGATGCTAGAATTGTTCCACAAAGGTAGCTGCTGGCAAAGGTTTTCACCAACCTTCTTCAAATGAGCAAACGGGCAAAAAAATACGTCCCTACATATGAACATCTATGAAGGTCCGTATCATGTCTTTTTCGCTGTGGCCACGCGCCCAAAGACTTTGATCCAATCCTCCACCGTTGGGGCCCCC